GTCAATAAAGTATCTCTTAAATGCTCGGTAATTTCGCAAGATACAAATAAATGGTTTTTAATACTTTCACAAAGTCTATTACATAATGGACAGTTAGAATGGGCAGATATATTCATTCTGCGCCTATTTAATACAATAGTATAGTCGTTGAGACGTAACTGAATTATTAAAGATTTAATATTATATTTTAAATTTGATAATAAATGATATCGAGGTGTCCATGGAGATNGTCCATCCTGTACGACATCTGTACAATAGTGGTTTGTGTTTTATGGTATGTTTTTAAAAAAATTTAAAAAAAAAAACAGTTTATCTACTCGCGTATTTTTGTACAAATTTTCTCATGTTTTATTTTTTATGTCTAGTTGGCTGAAGAGGGGCCAATGCCCGAAACGCGTAATGTAAAAGGCGTCCCAACTGAATAAATAGTCAATAAGTTGCCAAGTGTTGATATATGTCACCTTAGTGTGTCTGCAAAGAAACAGCTTAATAACAACAACACGGTTTCATCAGAATCAAAACAATTGCTACAGTCAAAGGTATAATATTGATATACAAGTAAAAATAGCAAAATTAAGAAGCAGTTTTGTCTATTGTAATCCTTTTCTAAGAGCATTTTACTGCTTATAAATGATAACGGTAGAACAAAATTATATTATTTTGCTAACTGTTTTTGTTTTAAAGCATGATATATAATTGCTTTTATATAAAACGTTTTTATAAATGAAATCAATCAAGCAAACATCTGTTTTGATCAGATTCACTATCAGATATCCTCCAAAGTTTAAAAGATCCTTCTTTCTGCTTTATCGCATTTTTATTTATTCCACCACCAAGTCTTCCTCCACAGTTTTCTTTCTTTCCTTCTTTCTTCTCCACATACCTCCTCCCTAGTTCTTTAATTATACAGTATTTGCCATCTTATTCCACCCTTCACTAATATCAGTCTTTTCCTCTTTCATTATCTCTACATCTTATTCTTTCAAGATCATGTGAGGAAACTGAAAAAAGAAAAAAAAATTTCAAAACGAAAATAACGATTATATAAGTTACATCGATAACGTCTTCCTGCCGTCTGGACTTTCGAATGGTAACAACCGACGACACGTGGTTGCGGTTGAGTTAGAGATCGATGCCTCGTTTACAAACAATACAACTCGTTTATAAGACAATCAACATACAAAAAGTTTTATAACCACGACAGGTTGAAGTCCTTGTATACTTCGGCGCGTAGTCTTCAAAGAAGAAGAGAAAAGTCCGGCGACGAACGAGGTTTCCTGTCGCTGACAGGATGTTGCATTCTAAGTTTAGTTGTCGAACAGGAAACGATGTCCGGTGAATTCAGATCGGAATTTCCGAAGTTTCTCTCAACAAAATTAATAATTTAAATTTAACGCGTGCAATGTCTTTATACAACATGAAAAAGTAGGAAAGAAATCGTTTATAATAAAAGATTCAACAAAACTTGTATATTTTACTACTGAGTATTTTAAAAGAAAAGTAATACAAACAGAAAATCGATTCATTAGTGATCAAAACTTCAGTATTTTATTATTACATAAGAATACTCTTTACTGTTATATAAAACTTCAACACCGCGCATCGTCACCGTGAACTCAGCCATTTTGTTGCAGCGAAAAAAGTAACTGAAATGAGTGGCGTTTCTTTATTCAACGCTGCTCGATCGCTACACAGCAAAGAATTTCTAAATGAAGAGCTGTAATATATCGAACCGTTTCTAAACCTTTGCTGCAAAGAATAGCTGCATCAAAGATAAAAGCTGCACGTGTAAAGCAAAATGAATGCTTGTGCGAATAATACGAGATTATGCTGCGAAAATAAAACAGTCGAAGTGACTTTTGATAAAAAATATTATGGAAAGATTAAGAAAGATTAAATTTTATTAAACGACTTTGATAGTTATCTAATGATTAACAAAAAATACTATATTTTAAATATAATTTTCTATGTCCTATGTCTTTACTTTTCTCACATTTTCGGAAAAAGAAATGTTCAATCTTTATTTGTCTTTATGTAAATATTGTAGTTCTTTAACGAAAGGGCTACTTTCAACTGTAACTGCAATAAAAAGATAAATTATAGATCCATGCTTAGGTCGAGAGGAAAGTGTTTTTAAACTATAATGTAGTGACGTGTAACGATAGCTGCTCGTGAAGTCATTTTCGCTACATTCTCGCTACATAAAGAAACNGAAAGAAACGCTCAATCTTTATATGTCTTTATGTAAATATTGTAATTCTTTAACGAAAGCGCTACTTTCAACTGTAACTGCAATAAAAAGATGAATTATAGATCCATGCTTAGCTCGAGAGAAAAGTGTTTTTAAACTATAATGCAACGACGTGTAACGATAGCTGCTCGTGAAAACATTTTCACTACATTCTCGCTACATAAAGAAACTCTGCCATATTATGCTGCGAGTAAATTTTTTTCAGAATTTTATTACAAATATAAACTTGCATTACTTTTATATTTTAAAATTTATTGCTCTTATTATTCTTGCTTCTTGTTCCGTTTCCTTTACAGCTTTAAGTTCAAAGCTTAAAGTGTAGCTTTTTTCCGGACTTTTCGTACAGAAAACTTTAGAGATAACAGGAATGAATTTATAATTTACTGATATTACTTACAAGAAAGTGCATTTCGGTAGTCATACACTTCCACAGTTTCAACACTTTCGTTCCTAAATATAAAAATATAGTATATTACAGATTTTTATTTAGATAGAGTTAGATAGCTTAATATCTGATCTTTTAAAAATTTAAAAGTCTTATCACATCAACGTCAACCGAAAATTTGATTAGATCTTTCACAAGAAAAAAAAAATTGTCCTTAAAGTTAAACTTTTCAGCACAAGCCATCGCAGATGTCACCCGAGACCAATTTTTCACGCTTACGTATAATAAAATTCATATTAAACGAATGTCAGATAATACCAATTACTGTAGCACCATTTCCGCATGACTGTGACTCCAGAATATTTATAAAGTTTTAAGATTTGTAAACAGAACACGTAAAGATGTTTGTTACTTATTCATTAATAATAGTACTTTTCTAAGAGTGTAATGGTGAAAAAATAACAATTATTAAATATATTTATTTCTATTTTTCGGTTAAGCAGAAATTACAATGTATAAGCATCAACATTAAAAAATAAATATTCTGGCAGCATATGAAAATTCACAGCAATAATTCCAATTGCACATGTTTGCAATTGTAGCCGCTACTAAAGATGTGCCAGATTCCTAATGCTCATTCCAAACTGGTTATTCGGGGTTGTTATTATAATGTGTGGAGTACAATACCCTACTGTTCCCTACAGAAAAACCAAAAAAGATGAATAATTTTTCTTTTATACTTCATAAATTACAGCATTCATTATGGAAGATGGAAAATAAGTTGTTCACTAATTTGATTATCAATAACGTTATACTGGAAGTGAATAAGGCTGAGAATTTCGAAACATATTACTGTTCACTCTTTCCTTTCATTCATTCTTTTCATAGCATAAAACGTTCTAAAGGTGAAATATTGTATAAAATTAGCATAAACTGTATACATTATGAGTGATGGACAGCATAGAATTCTTTTTAGATCTTCCCAGAAAACTCCATAGGAATTTTGAACTTGAATAAAAAATATTAATTTCGAATTTAAATTTCAAAAACATCAGCATTTCGATACTTCTAATGTGAGTCTGGTTGTCTGTCGGTTGTTCGAGTTTTTTTATTTTATGCAAACCAGGTCAACAGTACAGAGTAACACGGGCAATTTACATATTTCAGCATCCAAAATTGAAGTATCATGTATCGTACAATAGATTCATTAAAGAAACTTTTATGTATAAAAACGTTATATTAAGAATTTTTACAGAGCTTTATGTGAAATCCACGGGATTGTTTTTAATTAATATAAAATAAATTTAAATTATTATTATCGAGGAGATCATTTTGAACAAAGGAAGGCTGTAACGTCTATCAATTACGGAGAGAAGAGAAGATGAAGTTCTTTTAGACGGCCGACTCGTTGATGAATCAGTTTTGCATACGGTGCAGGCCGCTTGGAGACCCGTCTACAAATAGGGGCTTTTTCCCGCCAATCGAAGTAGCAATTCGGAGGAAGATTACCATACAATTTGGCAGTTCATAAGAAAAAGTTGCCATATAATTTATGCAGTACGGCCACATAAGAATTCAGAATATTTTTATAATGCGCACATAAATATTACGATTCTCAACTTTCTTCATATCCCGAACAGAAAGACGACCGAAGACAAGAATAAGCTTCATATTGTGATAGTAGTATGGACTTAAAATTGATGTAAACTTTCTCTCACGCGTATAGGTTAATTAAGATTAATTGAGATAGTTGATTTCTCTCCGCGAGATAAATCTAGAATATATAATTTGTAATCCTATTAATTGTATTATTAGATCGTTTGACTCAATTAAATTTATTTGTTTATAATGTGGTCTTGTTAATGACTAAATCCAATGCCTTCGTCTGCGCCACTTACTCGCGACTCTCTTACTCGAAATTCCTCACAAATGCGTAATAGTCTGCAACTTGACTATCTAGTGTCAAGAAAAACCAATGTCCTGGAGTTCACAAGAATCTCTGGTCATAACAAACGTCTTAGGAAGCCATCCGTAGACGACTGCGGGCCTGTTTCTCCAACAGGACAGCCGATTAAGCGGTACGTGAGTTTCAACAAAACCGTATCCCCAGTAGCTTCTCACATTTATACTTAAGAGAGTTTTATAAATCTAAATTTAGGCTAATAAACGAGTTAATTGGGTCTTGTCTGTTTTTCGAATCAAGTTGGCTAGATTCATTTATAGAACGAGAATAAACATAGGGTATTAGGCCTATTTTTTATAATTAAAAGTTAAACGATTTCATACGAAAAATATTTATAATACTTCTGTATTCTGTAAACTGTATATCACATAATAAAGACATTTTAGATGAACATGTTACATTTTATTTCGTTTAATTGCAATTAAGAAGCGTAACAATATTTCGGTTGTTGGACAATAAACAGGCGTTGCAATTATTTTCTGCCGCATGATCTATTAGGAGGGGGATAAGTCGGTGTACTTTCGGGCATACCTTCGCACCAGCATGCAAGCTTGTAGCAATAGCCGTAACTACCTCCTTGGTTCTTGGCTTTGCATTCCTTATCGCAGAAAGCGTTTTCTCCCAATTTAAAGCACTCGTATTTACAGCCTGTGCTCTTGTTCACCAGATAACCGTCTTTTGCCCACAGTGTTCCTGCAACAAATACAAAGAAATAGTCTTGTTCAACCGTAAGAAGTAATACTTATTAATACAGTAAATTAAAATATTTTATGCTTTGCACTTAAAATGTGTCATAAAGTACATTATTATTGTATCACATAAACTATAAAAACTGAAAATAGTCCTGATTATAAATATGCTATTTTAAACACTAGGAAGATAATGTGTCATTCGTAACCTTGTATTTATCAGCGACTTATCTAGCCAGGAAAATGACATTATAATAAAAATCTTGAGGATGCAATTTCTTATAAATCTAAATTTATGATGTTATTATATTAACTCACTTCTCTCAAGTCAACACATAGAAGTGACTGCAAATACTTAGAAAATTCCATAAATTCAAATAGCAATCACTAAAGTAAAATAATTGCCTCTCAATTAAACAGGTCAACATATTCATACTTATATAAAAAGACCATCACGGGTCAAGTAGTAACACTATTAAACTGATTTACTTTAGAGGTCTAACTCTTAAATAAGAGATTAAAGTACTAGAATAATAGAGAATTGATATGAGAATAATAGAGATTTGTGAACCGCCGGGGAGAGTGTAGGTCTCCCGATCCGGCAACAGGTTATTAAACCTTTTCACTGTCAGAATAGATTAAGTTTTTCTTTTTCCCGCTGTAACGGGATTAAATGTTTCGGGTCGAGTGGTGGAGGGAGGAGTGCGTCGGTAAGATGACCGGCGATATACGAGTAAACAAGGACACCAACTTAAAAAGAAAACAGCGATTTATTAGCTACATATATACTACAATAACTACGATCGATGGGGAAGTCTGAGTCCCTAAACGCGAAGGGCCGATAGAGAGTTCACAAAAATTTGGTTCCATACCTTTTTTTGATGATAATCCTTTGAGGAAATATTATGGTTCTCGTGGAGGAAATTATGTTTAGACGTAATCTTCGTAGGATACAGTCTTCGTAAAATTCGTAGGATACACTCTTCGAAGGATATAGTCTTCGTGGGACACAGTATTTTTAAAATATAATCTTTGTAGGATATACAGTCGACCCCCCTATAAGATAGAGATACGTTCCATTCCCTAGGAATCCGCTTTCTTACGAATCCTTCCAATCACAACCCGACACGTGTCAAGTTTACGGACTACGGCTGTTTGAAAGATTTTCTTCCATAAAATTAATCGATTCTAGACTAATCCGACTCAACATTTCCAAAATACGTATATATTTTTTGGGAATAATCCGTATAAACTACGCTATAAACAAAAAATTGTAGGATTACTTACCGAGTGTCACCATTCGACATTGCCATTGCTCAACATTGTTTTCGTCGCGGAACAGCTCAGCAAAGAGCGGCCGATTTCTAACAACTTATTTTTCTGTGAAAACTTCGTAGAACTTCGGAGACATCATTAATATAAATAATTTTAATCGCCGTTGAATAAGAAATGTTTCTTTCACAAGAAATGTATAAAATTACAGTACTGTATTAGACTTACGGTACCTAATTTACATACTGACAGACGATAGTTAGCGTAAAAATCTCCGTAGCGTGGCGCCACGCTAGACGGCGGAAATTATATATTTAATTATAACAAAGTTACAATAAGTTAATATATAATTATATATACAGTACCTAATTTATATATAATTAATATATAATTATATGTACAGTACCTAATTTATATATAATTTATATAATACTGTCCAGACGATAGAAATCTCTCCGTAGCGTGGCGCTACGGACGGCGGGAAAGTAGTTCGGCTTCCCGATGACGTTTGAGGTGTTTATAGGGAACTTTTACTATTTTTTACGGATACCGGTAGCAATTTTTTCGTAGTTTTATAGGAATCGTAACTATAGGGACCGTAATTATAGGGGGGTCGACTGTAATATTTGTAGGATATACTATGCAGGATATAATATTCTTAGTATATAATATTGAAGCGACGGTGGATGAACGACTCCCCCGAGAGGGGGGAGCAAGTGGCTTTTATAGTTTCGTCGTGAGAGTATGGTCATGTGACCAAATGTTGTGAGGTAAAAGGTACTCGGATGAAACAAAGTTGTCCCCGGGCCAAGGCTAACTATCATTTTGGGAGTTAGAATGTGAGATTAGTTTCGAAATAGACGGATGTTTACTTTGAACGAAAGGGGAGATCGGAATTTTTCATTTTTTTACGTTAGTTTTTCGTTCAAAGTTTAAAGGAAAACTTAATTGGGGGATATTAATCGGAAAATTCGGTAAAAATTCCGGATTTCACAGCTTAGTGACTCATAGAATATCCGCCTGAAAAGAACATCTTCTCGACAGATTGCTGTTGTGCTGCATTGCCATCCATCAATCAAATGCAGATCTTATACTACGTAAATAATTTAATTTCAATAGAATTTATGCCATTTCGAACAATTTAATACAAATCGTTCCCATTCCTAGAACACAAGAATGAGTTTATCTGAAGTTTTATAATTTTTCAACGAAATATTTCTGTAAATATGAATTTCGATTTAAGTCATATATGAAAGAACAAGCTATAATTTGCGAGTGTTTTCATTTCCACAAAAAATACAATATAATGTAATAAATATAACGCGAATTTCATAACTCTTTTATAATTATAACGATACTAAATTATGCCATTTATAAAATTAACAACTAATTTAATTAATCAATTATAAGTTTATACTCGCCGATCAGGACCAAACAAGCAGTGATCATCAACAACGAGTTCATCTTCGATAGTATCTAAACGAGTTTAGAATGAGTTACCACGAGCCGAAGTCGATATTTATATACATCCAATGCGAACAGGTACAACGCGTACACGTGGATTCTGCATGTTCGATCCATCTGTTTCCGCCAATTATAACAACATTAATGAGCCATTAAACAGAGAGGTCACATTTTTCAAATTTTCCTATTTGCGGAAGGAATTAAATTCGTACCGATTACAGAAATGTTTATGTGTAATATAATAAATAATAATAAATTGAATGAATAATAAAATGAATACAGAAATGCCATTAAATTTTTAAAAATAAAAATCACTTATTTTCCTTTAAGTTGAACAATTTCTTGGAACACTTCACGATCATTTAGATATTTCATGTTTAGAAGCATGTAATAATATCTCGTAATTTTCTCGTTCGATCGACACCACTAACCTATCCTCTGTCAAGGATTTTTTCAAAGTCTGCAGACATGAAATATTTCACGTACTTATTGACAAAGATTCTTGAAAACAAATCAATTTGCGATTTCTAATCGAAATGGAACTTTATTACAACAAAAGTGAAGATTTAAACATTGAATCTCCTACTCTAAAGAACTTCAAAGCTTTTATTTAAGTGTTGCAATTTTATGTAGAATAATTGAAAATAAGTAAAAAGTATTGATTCATCAGAAAAATAGGGAGCGGATAGATAGAGGGAGGTCATATGTTAGGCCTATATCTCGAGTGGAGACAAACTTAATAAAAATTTTTATTTTTTATTGGCATTTGCAATATTTTTTAAAACATCTATTCCCTGAAAAATTATCTCTCTTTGTAATATAAAAATGAGTTGTTAGTAAAATCCCGTGAGATGGAGCCACACACATTTTAACGTTGAGCAAATGCGTATTAGTGTTTTTTTAAATTTAAGTATTTCTTTTTAAATAGAGATTTTTTATCGTAATTCAACAAAATTAGTTGCTTTAATCTTTTGCTAGTATTTTAATTTTATATCGTTGTATAATTGANAAAATTTTTATTTTTTATTGGCATTTGCAATATTTTTTAAAACATCTATTCCCTGAAAAATTATCTCTCTTTGTAATATAAAAATGAGTTGTTAGTAAAATCCCGTGAGATGGAGCCACACACATTTTAACGTTGAGCAAATGCGTATTAGTGTTTTTAAATTTAAGTATTTCTCTTTTTAAATAGAGATTTTTTATCGTAATTCAACAAAATTAGTTGCTTTAATCTTTTGCTAGTATTTTAATTTTATATCGTTGTATAATTAAAAATTACAGAATATTTAATGCCATTTTGTTTGAACGTTTCTTAATTTCTTTGTTGTGATTTTGTGATTGATCGAATAAATGATTTTGAAGTAAAAAAATGGCCTTAGATAAACGAAATTGTCCCAGTTCAAGCTAACGTAAATAATATTTTCCTAAATGATCCCAAAAAGATCTTGTTATTTCCATTGCATATAAAACTTGGATTAATAAAAAACCTTCGTCAAAGCACAGGTTAAACAAGACTCGGCTCTTAAATTCCTTAAACAGATATTTTTCAAAACTAAGCTTAATGAAGGAAGGAATATTTGTTAAACATTAGATCAGAAAATTAATACAAGATTCACAATTTGGTCAAAAATTGAATGACGATGAACAAAGTGCATGGAGGTTTATTAAAAAAGTTGTAACAGTTTTTGGGCAACAGAAAAATAGAAACTATGAAAAACTTGTAAAAGGATTACTCGAAAAGTACAGTAAAATGGAATGAAGGATGTCTCTTAAACTACACTTTTACATAAGCATTTAAATTATTTTTTCCGAAAATTTGGGTGCCATCAGTGATAAACAAGAGGTAAATGATATTCTTGAACTGAAAATATTTACGTGTTAAAAATTATGTTTGCCATATTCATAAAAAGTATTCTTTATACAACTATATACTCGCTATAATATAAGTTCAATAAATGTTGTTGTTTTTATTTTATTTGTTGAGTAGTGTTATTAGACATTCTTCTTGGTTTTTTATCCTCCCTTCTGAGTGCAATAAAAGCCGAAAAAAGTCTTACTCAGTTTCTTTCATTATTGCTTGATCATCTAATACTGAGTTCAGCAGCAATATTTCTCGACAGCACATTATCGCATCAGAAAAACGAAAATAGATCTTTCGTTGCCTACAATCAGATTTAAATACGATAAATATTGGGAATCGTATTACCAAAATGCGGATTAGTGGTACTTAAATCTGTTCAATGGCGTTTTAAGAGTAGAAATAATTAAATTAAATTTTAGTGTGCGAAATGTTGGACGTGTTGTCTTCATACTACAAAGTAGAATAAAGACGTAAAAATTTAACTCTACCTAAATGTGCACCAATACATCACCTGCAGAATAAATAACACAGAACTGTTGTTTACACGATAAAGAAATAACTGAACATAAGTAAGAAGTTCGGTTTAAATTAGTAACAAATTATTATAAACATATTTATTATAAACAGGTTTCATTTTTTATGAAAATTACCATAAGAAAAAACAAACAAACATCACTGTCGATTTTCTTTGTTTGTATATGGCAACGCTACACGTGGCGATGTGCCATAGGGTTTACTTCTCAAAGGACATTCTAAGGATAACTGTCCTTATTAAGGTGCTACTGACGTAAAGATATTTTAAAATACTCCACGTAGCCAGTGGTGTCATGCACTCGGGCACTAGTAGGCCTCTGTGTTAAAAATATACTGTATATTAAGTAAGAGGTGACCCAGTCGTTACTCGGACAGAATGTAACGATAGCGCAGATTATAGAATTATAGCCAATCTTACCCGTTTTCACCGGGTACAAGAATTAGGTCTTTCCTCTTTCGAGACTAATTAATAAATTTTTAGATGTGTCTGTTAGACGCATCTTAAAATTCTAAAAATTATCTAAAAACATCTAAAAATTTTAAAATATCCGCAAAAATGCAAAAAACCGTATTTAAACAGTACACAGAAGTCAAGTTCTTCTGGGTGATTCTTTATTCCATTTTCCCGCGGAAAAAAATTTCCAAAAATTCCTTTTTATTCTACATTTTCATGATGTACCCTAACTGTGTACCAAATTGTAACTTTCAACTTCTAACCGTTTGCGTTCTGCGCTTGTTAACCCATCTCGATTATATATATATAGATAAATATCTGTAATAACGTAGTATGAGTTAATCTAACAGCGAAAGATTCAGATAAAGAAATAGGTGAAATAAACAGTCAGAACAACAATAATTGCTTTTTCTCCAAAAAATAAATAAACAAGTGGCAAGTAAATAAGTAGCAATTAGCGGTTTATTAATATTTGATGTGTATCAAATAAGACATAACGTTAAGTGTCTTATTTAATACACATGGGTACAAGCAACTGTTCCAAAGCAACCATTCTTAACGTAACTTTAAAGCACCGCAACATAAGTCTCTCACAGGCCAGTAATTTCGTAAATTAATAAGGCACTCAACGTAGAAATTTCTAATTTGCCGGCATTCGCTAAACTATAGCGCGAATTTCTTTCCCTCTTTCTGTAAAAATGACCGTTGCTATGTCAGTTCCCGTTGAAAACGATAAAACAATCTCGATTAAAAGTTGTACTACATGAAAAATAAGTAATAATTCTGTTAATTGTAATCTGAAATATTAATAAGGAATTTAGAACAGACTTTCACAAATGAATCGATTAAATATTAAAGTACTCGGCCTGGAAGAAACTGCTGTTTCCTTGCTGTATACATATATTTTAACTGACTTTTGTGCGTTCCCTTGTTAATTTTAAAATTGTTAAAAAATAAGTCAATATTTTATTAATCTTAGTTTTATTATTTTGAAGAGAAAAACATCGACACGATGGCAACAGTAGCTTATTTGTTTGCTTCGTTTATAAAGTTGTATAAAGTAACCTTAACGAACATCGATACACACAGAGACAAACAAATGTACACAATAATCATAAAAAATTCTATATATTTTAATAGAATTCTAAACATCATCTGACCGTTTTGGTCTTAATTTCCAAATTTATTTGCAATTGCAACGAATCGCTTCATTTTTATTGAAAAATTTATGACTTTGAACGAAGAAAACATTTCTTTAATTACAGAGAAAACCTGTTCGGTTTTATAAACAATTTTATACGTTATATTATTTAGAAATAAAATATTGTATAAACTGATGTCATCCATTTTATGCGAACTGCTTCCTTGGCAACTTGCCACCTACACCCACGCTGAGTTAGAGCTAGATCCACTCAATTACAATATTTTTTTACTTCAACATTTGAGTTTATCAATATGTTCATTTATTCTCTATTAATTTGTTAATTTACTAATTATTGTTATTTATATTATGCTTTTATATACATTAAAAGAAAATTTTTCCAACTTTCCCGAAATTTTATAGTAATTTATCGATCTGCAGATCGATTAACAGTTGCTGGTGATTTGATCGTGAACTTCTGCTCTAGACAATGTACACGTTTGCAGTCTACATTTCTAACATTTATTACATTTTTAATGACTTCCTTTATTTAACGATTGTCTGATAAAACATCAGTCTGACTGCTGTTTTCGTTTCTAAAACCTCTGCGTTTGTCTTTTCAACATTTTGCTAATCAGGCTAAAGTAAAAATGTTTAAAGAAACTAAACAATACAGGCTTTTCTTACATACAAAGACAAATTATTCTATTGACATAAATGTGCATTTGCTGCTTGCAATACAAAATTGAATATAACCATTTAAATTATAATGGTACAAATAGTACATTTAAATTTTATCAGGCCAGTAATTTATTATAAAAAAATGAATACAATTTTTGGAAAGTTACAAATATTTTCTTTCAGTATATACCTTGATATAAAAACATAATAAAAATAACAATAATTAGTAAATTAACAAATCAATAGAGAATAAATAAACAAATTGATAAACTCATATGTTAAAGTAAAAGAAATTGTAATTGGGTGAATTCTAGCTCTAACACTGCAAAGGTTTAAATGGCAGATAGCCAAGAAACCAGTTGGTATGAAATGGATGCCATGATTTTATACATTATTTTATTTCTAAATAACATAATGTATAAAATTGTTTATAAAACTGAACATGTTTTCTGTGTAATTAAAGAAATGTTTTCTTCGTTCAAAGTCATAAATTCTTTAATAAAAATAAAGCGATTCGTTGCAATTGCAAATAAATTAGGAAATTAAGACCAAAACAGTCAGTTGTTAGGAATTCTATTAAAATATAAAGATAATTTTATGATTAATGTGCACATTTGTTTGTCTTTGTATGTAACGGTATTCGTTAATGTTACTTTATACAACTTTATAAATAAACCAAACAAAATGAGCTACTACTATTGATATTGTATCAATGTTTCTTTTCTTAAAAGTTATTAAAATAAGATTAATAAAATATTGGCCGATCCTTATATAATTATAAAATTAACAAGAGAACGCACAAGTCACTTAACCTATATGTATACAGCATAAAAACAACAGTTTCTTCCAGGCCGAGTACTTTAATATTTAATCGATTCATTAGTGAAAGCCTGTTCTAAATTCCTTTTTAATATTTCAGATTATACTTAGCAGAATTATTACTTATTTTTAATGTAGTACAACTTTTAATTGAGAATGTATTATCGATTTCAACAGGGACTGACATAGCAACGATCATTTTTACAGAAGGAAAAAAAAAATTCGCGCTAGAGTTTAGCGAATGCCGGCAAATTAGAAATGTCTACGTTGATTGCCCTATTAATTTACGAAATTACTGTCCTGTGAAAAACTTATGCTGCGGTGCTTTAAAGTTACGTTAAGAATTATTACTTTGAAACAGTTGCTTGTACCCATGTGTATTAAATAAGACACTTAACGTTATGTCTTATTTGATACATATCAAATATTAATAAACCGCTAATTGCTATTCATTTACTTGCCACCTGTTTATTTATTTCTTGGAGAGAAAAACAATTGTTGTTGTTTTGAATGCTTATTTCACGTATTTCTTTATCTTAACTTTCGCTGTTAAATTAACTCATACTACGTTATTACAGATATTTATCTATGTATATAATCGAGATGGGTTAATATTAATAACTAGCTGCAAGGACCCGCTTCGCTGGGTTTTTAAAAAGTAACGATAGTGAAAATTAAGATAATTATATTATAGCTAATATTACCCGTTTTTACAGAATGCAAGAATTAGGTCCCCCGTTTCCAGACTAATTAGAGAATTTTTACGTTTAGTCAAACGAACAAATTTCAACCTTTCTGGAACGTTTTTAATCGTTTTATAATCGAACCAATTCGAATTTTATGTTCGAATGTGTTGTTCGAACAAATTCGAACAACACATTCGAAATAAAAAGCCACTTTCAACCACTATCAGCCTCATATCTCCCGCTCCCTTATAGCTATCGAGACGCAACCACCCCTATGCACGAATGGAGACTTGGGGCTACCACTACATACAAACACCATTCACGTGCGATGTGTAGTTTTGGCGAAAACGTGAGATATAGGGACATACTCTTTTCCGCGGAAAAAAGACGTGAAGAATCATGCAGAAAATTTGGCTTCTGTGTACTGTTTAAATACGTTTTTTGCATTTTTGCGGAAAATCGAACATATTTTAGAATTTTTAGATGTGTCTAAAAGATATATCTAAAAATTCTTTAATTAGTCTCGAAAGAGGAAAGACCGAATTCTTGCACCCGGTGAAAACGGGTAAGATTGGCTATAATTGTATAATCTTAATCTTCGCTATCGTTACCTTTTGTCCGAGTAACGACTGTGTCATCTATTAGTTAATATACAGTATATTTTTAACACAGAGGCCTACTAGTGGACGAGTGCATAACACTACTGGCTACGTGGAGTATTCTGGAATATCTTTACGTCTGTATCACCTTAATAAGAACAGTTTTCCTTAGAATGTCCTCCCAAAAGGCAACCCTTTGGCATATCGGTACGTGTAGCATTGTAATATACAAACAAACAAATAGACAGTGATGTTTGTTTGTTTCCTTTTATGGTAATTTCCATAAGAAATAAAATCTGAGTAATGTTTATAATAATTTGTTTCTAATTTAAACCGAACTTTTTTATGTTCAGCTATTTCTTTGTCGCGTAAACAACAGTTGTATATTATTTATCCTGCAGATAATAGATGCACACTTAAATACAGTTAAATTCGTACGTCTCCATTATACTTTGTAGTACGAAAACAACACGTCCAACATTTCGCACACTAAAATTGAATTTAATTATTTCTACTCTAAATAGGCCATTAATTAAATTCATTTAAGTACTACTAACCCGCATATTGGAAATACCATTCCCAATATTTATCGAATTTAAATCTTATTGTAGGCACCGAAAGATCTATTTTCGTTTTTCTGATGTGATAATCTGCTGTCAAAGAACATTTCTGTTGAAAAAGTATGAGATGATCTAGCAATAATGAAAAAACTGAGTAGGGCTATTTTCGGCTTTCATTGCACTCGGATGGGAGGATAAAAAGATCAGGAAGAATGTCTATTAACACTACTTAACAAATAAAATAAAAAACAACAGCATTTATGGAACTTATTTTATCGCGAGTATATAGTCTTATAAAGAACACTTTTTATGAATATGACAAACATAATTTTCGAGCACGTAAATATTTTCAGTACAAGAATATCATTTACCTCTTGTTTATCAATGATGGCACCCAAATTTTCGGAAAAAATAACTTAAATGCCTATGTAATAGTGTAGTTTAAGCGACCTTCTTAAACCTATTGTAATGTACTTTTCGAGTAATCCTCCTACACGTTTTTCAGTTTCTATTTGTCTGTTGCCCAAAAACTTTTACAACTTTTTTAAAAAAACCTCCATGCACTTTGTTCATAGTCATTCAATTTTTGACTAAATTGTAAATCTTGTATTAATTTTCTGATCTAATGTTCAACAAATATTCCTTTTTTTATTAAGCTTAGCGTCACTAATTTGAAAAAATCCTTAACGAAGGATAGGTTAGTGGACTCGATTAAACGAAAAAATCAAGAGATATTATTACATGACTCTAAACATGAAGTATCTAAATGATGGTGAAATGTTCCAATAACTTGTTCAACTTAAAGTAAAATAAGTGTTTTTATTTTAATTAAATAATTTAATGACATTCATTTATATTTGACATAAACATTTCTGTCTCGGTACGAATTTAATTCCTTCTGCAAATAGAAAAATTTGAGAAATGTGACCTCTCTGTTTAATGGCTCATTAATGTTGTTATAATTGGCGGAAACAGATGGATCGAACATGTACGCGTTGTACCAGTACGCATTGGATGTATATAAATATCGCCTTCTGCTCGTGGTAACTCATTCTAAACTCGTTTAGATACCATCGAAGATGAACTCGTTGTTGATGATCACTGCTTGTTTGGTCCTGATCGGTGAGTATGAACTTATAATTGATGAAATTGATTGTTAATTTTATAAATGGCATAATTTAGTATAGTTATAATTTATTGAAAAGTTATGAAATCTGCGTTACATTTATTACATTATATTGTATTTTTTGTGGAAATGAAAACACTCGCAAATTATAGCTTGTTCTTTCATATATGACTTGAATCAAATATTATTTACACATATATTCAGTGGAAAAAGTATAAAAATTTAGATAAACTTATTTTAGTATTTTAGTAATTGGAACGATCTGAATTAAATTCTCGAAATGACATAAACTTTTTTAAAGTTGAATTATTTATGTTCCATTAAATTTGTATTCGATTAATACATAGCAATGCAACACAAAGGCAATCTGCCAAGAAAGTGTTCTTTTCAGGAGAATACTCTACGGGTCACTAATTTTTATTTTTTATTATTTTGGTATTTTAATTTTTATTTAAGTGTTACACGTCTAAAGTACATGAGTTTAATGGTGTTATCCACTCGGCCACTGATGGTCTTTATATTTAAGTATGGATATGTAGACCTGTCTTAATGAGTGATAGCTTTTCAGTACAGTGATATCTATTTGATTTATTGAATTCTCTATTTGCAGTCAGTTCTATCTGTTGATTTGAAAGAAGTGGGTAAATAGAATAACATCATAAATTCAGATTTACAAGAAACTGCGTCCTCAAGATATTCATTATAATGTCGTTTTCTTGGCTAGATAATTTACGAATGACACATCATCTTCCTAGTGTTTAAATTGCATATCTATAATCAGGACTGTTTTCAGTTTTTCTAATTCATGTGATACAATAATAATGTACTTTTTTTGACACATTTTGAATGCAAAGTATTAAATATTTTAATTTTATTATATTAATAAGTATTACTTCTTACGGTTGAACAAGTCCATTTCTTTGTATTTGTTGCAGGAATAGTGTGGGCGAAGGACGGTTATCTCGTGATCAAGACAACGGGCTGCAAACTCTCATGCTTGGAAGACAAAAAGTGCGATCGTGATTGCAAGAACCAAGGAGGTAGTTACGGCTATTGCCACGCTTTTGGGTGCTGGTGCGAAGGATTGTCCGGAAGTACACCGACTTATCCCATTCCTGGTAAAACATGTAAAAAATAATGGCAATGGCTTTTTATTGTGCACCAACCGAAATATTGTAACTCTTGTTAATTGCAGTTAAATGAAATAAAATGTAATACCTTCATTTCAGATATCTTTATTATGTGATATTCAGTTTCGAAATATAAAAGCATTATGAATTTCTTTCGTAGGAAATCATTGAACTTTTAATTATAAAAACTTTATTTTATGCCTATTATTCTCTTACTGAACCTACATTTTGAATTTTGCTAGCTTAATTATATTTTCATTTTCTCAATGTTAAAGATAATTCCGAAAGATGTGACCTAATTAACGAGTGTCTACATTTATATTGTTTAAAAATCATTTATAAAAAATGATTTTATTCATGTAAATTACAGGTGTAAATTGCTATACGTAAAAGATACCTTAAGGACTATAGATCTTATATACAATACTGTATATGTTACCGCTAAAGCTCGAAAGTCGTTAATGTGTACATTACCTAGCTAATCTGCAGATCAACTAGGGTGATCCGTTAAACTTGCTAAAATTGTTCCATTTCTTAAACTACCTAGATAATGTGCAGAGTATCTAGGTAATCCGCACATTACCTACTAGGCACTCGGTAAAGTGAAAATAAGATCTTTGCCACAAATAGGCGTGCTTGTCGCAAAAACCAATTGCTATAAAATTCAGTGTCACCAATCTTTACACTGCAATAGTAAGTAAGCACAATTAGATAATGTTACCTATGGCAAGTAAAATGGCGGCTCGTCTCTGATTCCATCAAACAGAAGAAAGGAAACAGTGGGGACGTACGTTTAAATCTAACCTAATCTATTTTAATAATTTGGTTGGTAATAATTATGGTAATTTATTAGACTAGGTTAGGTTACGTTAGAACGTGCGTCCCATTGTTTCCTTTTTTCTGTTTGCTGGAATCGGAGACGAGCCGCCATTTTACTCACCATAGGTAACGTTAACTGCACAATTATATCACGCGATCACCAGAAAAAGTATGATAACTTTATTACTTTTCAAAGTATGAAACTTTATTACGGTCCAAAAGTAGGGTATCGTTTAAGTCGTCTCGGTCTCGTCAGTTCAGATAGATATTCAAATTCCCGAAATTCATAGGTGGTTATCTATTGATATATAATAATTTCCCTAATTGTATTAATATTTTAAACCGTTTGATTTTTTGTATGTTTTTTTAATTGGTTGATGATTGATTCTGTCAACTAATTTGTTGGTTGTTTGATTGTATTAACTTGATTCTTTAGATATCGAAAATTAAATAAAGAACATTATGTTAATTTAANTCTCGATGTTAATGATAATTTCGAAAGACCTGACACAATTAACGCGTGTCTACATTTATATTTTTAAAAATCTTTTAGAAATGATTTTATTCATGTAAATTACAATATAAATTGCTATACATAAAAGATATCTTAAGGGCTATAGATTTTATATACAATACTGTATATATTAAACCAAATGCTCTCCTTAATTATTCGGGCTAATTAAATGCCGTTATTAATGAGTACTAGTACAACGTACTAATACTCGTATTACGTCTAGTACAAGAATACTTATTAAGTAACTAGTACTAGTATTACGTCTAGTACAAGAATACTTATTAAGTATTCTTGTACTTGTAAGAATATTCACTAATTAATTTAAAATATTTAGGAACAAAAAGAAAAGCGATAGTTGCGAGTTCGAGTTCCGCTCCGGATCGATTCTTTAATGGAATTCGTTGAATTTCTATGATTTTCAACGTTGTTGAAACTTTTCTGAATATTAACGAATTTCGTTTCGAAATGTTCAAGCGTACATTGATTAAAGAACTGTACAGGATTCAAACTTATATAAAGTTTTTGGATCTATTTACTTTTTTAGACTTTTTAAAGACTTTCGCAGCTGTTTTTAATGCTATATGCTAGAAATTGCCTACGTAACTAAACAGTTCACAACAAAGCGGCATTAATTACTCGTATTATTTACATAAGTTTCAATTATATTCCTCACTTTGCATTGATTGCGAGTAACGAAAAAATGTGTGAGTGACTACAAGCAAAGATAAACTGCGCTGATCATCTGAAGACAATCTAAATAATTAATTTAAATAAACTTCTAAATGTTTATGATAACCGTAATCACTTACTCTGATTACAAATCTTTCATTTACGGGCATGAGCTTGTAAGCTATATAGCACCATGCTAAAGTGGGACGTAATTATCACGTAATAGCAGTTGCATGCGTTCATGATGATCTTTACGCCCGGAATAATGCCTTCCGGGAGGGCGTTTAAAAGTAACTGGCCCCATTCATGCGTTACAGACGTGGAGAAAATTCCACGTTGCCAGCCCATCCTGGCGATGCGAGAACCCACGACCGAAATCCGTATTCGGAGATTGGAATCGCTTGTCCATTGGTGGGCAGTTGGAGATCTGAATGTTTTTATTAAATCCAGGATTTGTTGGAGATAAATTCAATATTCTTAAAGAATTTTGAATTTAAAAAATGAATAAAAATTTATCACAGATATTGAAACAATATTGCAACAATAAAACAAAACATCTGCTTTTTAACTTATAATTTAGGAAGTGTGCACGTTCGAGAATCGATTTATTTCATTAAAATTGCTATAGATTTTGAGAAAAGCATTGCATTATTTTTATTTTTATGGAGTAATATTTTAAAATTTCAAAAATGGGGACAGTAGAACCAAACTGATCCAAGTTACATTTTTTTTTTTATTATAGATTTTCTCATGGATGCATGGGAAAAAATAAGCTTTAATCCTGTCCATCTCCCCCCAGTAGGGGGAATTTCAACACGTATATTATATAAAAACCCGTGCGTATTCGAATGCAGCGTTGTGTCAAAATTTCAAAGGAATCGGTAGGAACAAACAAACATTACATTATTAATTATATAGATAGATAGAAAATGATCTGCATTAGTTCATCCTCATATAAACACATAATGCCTTACAGAAAAGCAAATTTAGGGCGTCGTACTCGTAGCGTCATCTGTTGTACATAAAAGCCTTAACCTAGATTATTTCTTTTAATTTATATGAATGTTTAACGGAATAATATACAGCCTATGTCCATCCTGAAGTACCATTCTAAATATTAGTTAAAGAATTTTTGAAATTGGATGAGTAGTTTCGGAGATTCCCGCTACATTCAAACTTACATACAAACTTACTTTACTTGATAATATTAATATAGATGATAAATCCAACTACGAGATGCGCAACTTTCCCGGCAACATTTAGTAGCATTGATATTTATATTTTGTTTAAAAACATTTTATATTTTTAACCATTACAAAATGGCAAAAAGTAATTATAAACAAATATAAATGCTAATAACGATTATAATCGTCATTAGTCAGATACTAGTCTACTGTTTATACACACGATTCCATTATCTCCTCATCTGGTCGACCTTCAACCACTAAAATTGAATAGAATCAGTACACGTAATAACCAAATCTGCGTGCAAAATTTGACAAATTTTCGACAAAACGTTATTAGAAAGATTGCGCCTGTCCTTTTCATGGCGAAAACGTGAACGTCGGTGGTCGATCGTTGTCATCTGGCAAGTCTAGAAGTTTGACAATGGCGTTTGGTATGTCGAACACGATGAGTAGAAGATCAACTTAAACTTTTTCACTTTTTCGTGTTTGGTGTTAAAATTATGACGTATTTTATTATAATAATGATTATTTAATCATTTATGAATAATATTGTAAAAAATAGATGATAGTTTATCCTAATAAAATTGATGGTTTTTCTGTTTTCTTGCTGAGAACAAGAAGTCAACTTTCACGATTTGTACATAAAATACTAAATATCATTTACAATAAGCATTCCAAATTGTTATTCAATATCGACGCAATAAAACTATCACGAGGAAAATTAAAATTATTTAGCCGAGTAATAACAACAAGAGGTGCACCTTTACAAATTGTTGTGGGTTCGTAGATGAAACGGCACGTCCGATTTGTCCACTAAAAACACATAAAAGAGTGGTATTCAGTGGCCATAAATGATAATTTTCAGATATATTTTTCTAAGCAGCTTTCGAATTTTGATACTCATACGGATTTGCAGCCACTACTTCCCTCTAAAGAAGTATGTGGTGACAACAGGAAAATCGCATTGGAACTTTTCTATTGTTTCTTACAGTAGGAGACACGACGCTAATTAAATGCAAAAATAATTATATAGTGTTATTAAGCTAGGTGATCGGCGGTAGCACAACACAATAGATAAAGCACAAATATAGGATTAATCCAGAAGAGACTCTCTTTCGACTTTGAAGTTTCGATTTTTATAGTTTTCCCCCACTATTCGCATTCGGATTGGTCCCTCGTTCCATTCCTCGCTTCTCGATTGGTCTCTCCTTTGTCCTCAGGTGCAAAACGAAACCTTTTCGAGTCGCGGGAAAAGTCCGATTCGAGGTGTCCATCTGATACTTCTTTGTCGACTCTGCTCGGTGACTGTTTATAAAACAATAACACCTGCACTCATAACTCAGGCCGTTATTTACCATTTTTTGACGTCTAAGAATTTAACGATCATTTTCATCTTTCATCTATCAAAAATTCCCCTTTTTTGTTCAAAAAGGTTTATCTCGGCCAACATTCTGTAGACTCGCGAGTCAATGTTCTACCTATTTATGATCGCTCGTGTTAGAGTTTGTCTTCCGCTAAGACCTTGACAGATAGTTTGACACATACTCGAACAGTACCGAGTCTCGTTGTTTACATCTTGTGTGTCGCGCAAGAATCTCACGGTTACTCGAGTTTGAACCTTGTCTGGGAACCTACATTACGTTTTTGGAACTGATGGTCCATTGTCTTTAGTTCTTGAGATTGGTGATCCCACCCAAAGGGAAGAAAGGAAATGAAAAGAAAGTTCTGGAATAACGGAGAACAAAACGGGAATAAGGAAATAAATGTATAAATATTGGTTTCTTTAATCTTGGCATTTATTTTGGCAGTTAGGGTAAAGTAGTAATAAGGTGACCGGGTTTTATTTTTTCGTATACGATCTATTGTTGCATTTTCGGCGCTCCCACTATGACGGCGCCCTAGGACCGCCCCTGGATAATTATCTGTAATAATTATCTCCAACAAATAAATAAACAAGTGGCAAGTAAATAAATAGCGTCGCGCCGGCTCTAGAAAAAGACTAGCACCATGATGCGGAGAGTGGCAAAAACAAACAAAAAAAAGAATGTTTTTGAAAAAGAGAAGAAAAAAAAAGAACAGTTCAAAAAATTAGGACGTTCGAAAAGATTTGTGTTTTTCTTTTAACGAGTTATATAACGTTTTTGTTTTTTAGTGTATCTAAGTAAAAGTGTCAGTTTCGGTAAACTGTGTTCTGAATTTATATCCCGAGCCCCATAGCTCGTAACAAATTGGTGTCAGGAGTGCGATGTAAATCATTCCGGTTATGCCGAAAGAAGACACTGAAGGGATTCGTACACGAAGTCAACAGCGACAACAGGCGATGGATCAGCGACGTTTTAGTGAATCTTCTGATTGGACATTAGATGGTCAGCAAACAACTGACTCTGTTTTAACCGCCAGCACCACTGGCGCTACTCCAGCACCTGCTATGCTTGATTTATCTGTATTGTTGACGGCGTTGCAAGAGCAGACCAATCAGTTGAAAAATATGCAAGAGCAGGCACGTCAAATGAAAGAAGAACTCCAGCGAGGCCAAGAAGAGCAGGCACGTCAAATGAAAGAAGAACTCCAGCGAGGCCAAGAAGAGCAGGCAAGTCAACTGAAGGAACTGCATGCAACGATTGGCAGCGATTTAAAGGTAATCAAGGAGCAGGTTGAGTACCATGAAGAGCAGGTACAACGGCATGAGAATCGAATTTCCAAAGCTGAAGTGAAGATCACAGATGTTGAGAAAGCTTTGGTCAAGCTCATATCTGAGACTGGGAATGCCACTCCCGTTATAGCTACACCGGCAGTACATGGATTTAAAGTACCGCCTTTCGACGGGACATCTTCATGGTCGGCTTATAAAATTCAGTTTGAAGCCGTGGTGAGGATGAATGGATGGACTAAAGCACAGGCCATGACAGCACTCACGTTGGCCCTCCGCGATCAGGCCTTGACTATACTAGAGGCCCTCAGTAAGGATGTCACTTATGACCAACTGGTGGAGGCATTGGAGTCCAGATATGGAGACAAGCATCTTGAGCACGTGTATCGGGCGCAGCTTAAGGACCGTGCGCAACGTAGTGCCGAGACTCTACAGTGCTGGGCATTGGAAGTTGAGAAGCTGGTCCGAAAAGCGTATCAGTCTTCACCTGCATTGGTTGAGGGACTACTTGTACAAGCGTTCATGGATGGAATACGCGATGTAGAAGTTCGAGCAGCTGTCAGATTGGGACATCATGAAACTCTGAAGGATGCTTTGGCCCATGCTTTGGAGGTGGAGGCAGTAAGACGCGATGATCGATCCCATCATGTTAGGGAGGTTGTAATGACAGGTCCCCAGTGTTACTACTGTAAAGCCAGGGAACACCTGCAGATGAATTGCCCAAAGCGAGGGCACTTTGGGAGAGACCGAACGGAGGATGGACTTCAGAAGCTAGAGGTGACTGATACCACCACCCAGCTGCAGTAGCAGCAGGGAAACGAGTAAGTGCCAGGACTGCGGGGCAGGTGCTGGCTGGTTTTGAGGGAGCCCCAGAAATCTCGGTCTCCCAAGCCCACGATGGAAATAGCCTGATTATTCAAGGCGAAATTAACGGAACACCATGTAAGCTGACATTGGACACTGGAGCTTCTCGCACGGTCATCAGTTCTCGACTGGCAAATCAGATTCTTGGGGACTACTTCAGTGGACATGATCGTATTCGTCTTATAACAGCCACCGGTCAGCACATATCCGTCCGAGGCGAGAAGGAGATGGAATTGCAACTAGGCAACAAGATTTATCGGCATAAGGTTATCATTGCCGATATAAGGGACGATTGCATTCTGGGCTTGGACTTCATGAAGGAACATCATTGTGAGATTGATGTAAAGCAGGGAATCTTAAAATGCGGTTCAGCAGAACTTTTTATGGACGGTGCATCGTCGGGTAAAGTGCGCTGCTTAAATAAGATTGTTCTTCCTCCAAGGTCAGAAACTATCGTACCAGTAAGACTACCAGATAACTCTGGTCAGAAGAATCGTTGTGTCCTCGTAGAGGATTTAGACAGCAGTTTACCATGGAAGATGGCACGAACCTTGGTGAGGGCCACTAACGTTTCGGCAGTACGTGTTCTAAATCCGGGTGATAGAGAACAGGTTGTTGGAAAAGGCACTATAATGGGCACCTGTGAAGAAGTTGCTTGGATGCGTAAATGCCAAGAACAACCTACTGCGACCAACATGAAACATTCCGCGATCAATGTGTCAACGCTTCTNTATAAAACTTACCAATGAATTTATAACGTTTCTATACAATGCTTCTTTATCACTTATATAACGTCTTCTATGATGCAACATACCAGTAGAAGATTTTATATACCATCCAAGTAATTTATATCCAACATCTTTGTTTTCACCTACAGAATCTCTATGATAACTTTGATATTTCGATCTATAATATCGCCTTGTACAATGATTAAAAGGTTCTCTGTTAGTCATATTTTTTTCTTATTCTACAGGCTCTTCCTTATCCTCCAAATACTGTACTTACTTCCTCTTCCTCTCGTAAGCTTTACACAACAACGATGTTTTATCTAGAAAGCGTACATTTTAACGTCACAGTTGCGCTTAACCGTTCATTCGTCAGTTTATACACTTTTCTACACTAGAGGTTGTGGCCGACGTTTTCATCTCCAGAACGTAAAGTCGAACGTCGAGTGTCGCCATCTTGTAAGTCTAGAAATTTAACAATGGCGTTTGGAATGTCGAGCATGGTGAGTAGAAGTTCGGCTTAAACTTCTTCATTTTTCTGTGTTTAGGGTTGAAATTATGACATATTCTATTAAAATAATGATTATTTAATCATTTATGAATAATATTGTAAAAAATAGATGATAGTTTATCCTAATAAAATTGATGGTTTTTCTGTTTTCTTGCTGAGAACAAGAAGTCAACTTTCACGATTTGTACATAAAATACTAAATATCATTTACAATAAGCATTCCAAATTGTTATTCAATATCGACGCAATAAAACTATCACGAGGAAAATTAAAATTATTTAGCCGAGTAATAACAACAAGAGGTGCACCTTTACAAATTGTTGTGGGTTCGTAGATGAAACGGCACGTCCGATTTGTCCACTAAAAACACATGAAAGAGTGGTATTCAGTGGCCATAAATGATAATTTTCAGATATATTTTTCTAAGCAGCTTTCGAATTTTGATACTCATACGGATTTGCAGCCACTACTTCCCTCTAAAGAAGTATGTGGTGACAACAGGAAAATCGCATTGGAACTTTTCTATTGTTTCTTACAGTAGGAGACACGACGCTAATTAAATGCAAAAATAATTATATAGTGTTATTAAGCTAGGTGATCGGCGGTAGCACAACACAATAGATAAAGCACAAATATAGGATTAATCCAGAAGAGACTCTCTTTCGACTTTGAAGTTTCGATTTTTATAGTTTTCCCCCACTATTCGCATTCGGATTGGTCCCTCGTTCCATTCCTCGCTTCTCGATTGGTCTCTCCTTTGTCCTCAGGTGCAAAACGAAACCTTTTCGAGTCGCGGGAAAAGTCCAATTCGAGGTGTCCATCTGATACTTCTTTGTCGACTCTGCTCGGTGACTGTTTATAAAACAATAACACCTGCACTCATAACTCAGGCCGTTATTTACCATTTTTTGACGTCTAAGAATTTAACGATCATTTTCATCTTTCATCTATAAAAAATTCCCCTTTTTTGTTCAAAAAGGTTTATCTCGGCCAACATTCTGTAGACTCGCGAGTCAATGTTCTACCTATTTATGATCGCTCGTGTTAGAGTTTGTCTTCCGCTAAGACCTTGACAGATAGTTTGACACATACTCGAACAGTACCGAGTCTCGTTGTTTACATCTTGTGTGTCGCGCAAGAATCTCACGGTTACTCGAGTTTGAACCTTGTCTGGGAACCTACATTACGTTTTTGGAACTGATGGTCCATTGTCTTTAGTTCTTGAGATTGGTGATCCCACCCAAAGGGAAGAAAGGAAATGAAAAGAAAGTTCTGGAATAACGGAGAACAAAACGGGAATAAGGAAATAAATGTATAAATATTGGTTTCTTTAATCTTGGCATTTATTTTGGCAGTTAGGGTAAAGTAGTAATAAGGTGACCGGGTTTTATTTTTTCGTATACGATCTATTGTTGCATTTTCGGCGCTCCCACTATGACGGCGCCCTAGGACCGCCCCTGGATAATTATCTGTAATAATTATCTCCAACAAATAAATAAACAAGTGGCAAGTAAATAAATAGCGTCGCGCCGGCTCTAGAAAAAGACTAGCACCATGATGCGGAGAGTGGCAAAAACAAACAAAAAAAAGAATGTTTTTGAAAAAGAGAAGAAAAAAAAAGAACAGTTCAAAAAATTAGGACGTTCGAAAAGATTTGTGTTTTTCTTTTAACGAGTTATATAACGTTTTTGTTTTTTAGTGTATCTAAGTAAAAGTGTCAGTTTCGGTAAACTGTGTTCTGAATTTATATCCCGAGCCCCATAGCTCGTAACAATAGCAATTAGCGGTTTATTAAGTCTGTGTGTCTTAATTATTAATATTTGATGCGTATCAAATAATACATAACGTTAAGTGTCTTATTTAATACACATGGGAACAAGCAACTGTTCCAAAGCAACCATTCTTAACGTAACTTTGGTGGAAAAACTACTCGCAGCATAATATTGCTGATTTTCCTTATGTAGCGAGAGTGTAGCGAAAATGACGTCACGAGCAGCTATCGTTACACGTCGCTGCATTATAGTTTAAAAACACTTTCCTCTCGAGCTAAGCATGGATGCTATAATTTGTCCGTTTATTGCAGTAACAGTTGAAAGTAGCGCTTTCGTTAAAGAACTACAATATTTACATAAAGACATATAAAGATTGAACATTTCTTTTTCCGAAAATGTGAGCAAAGTAAAGACATAAGAAATAGATAATTATATTTGAAATATTGTATTTTCTTAATCATTAGATAACTATTTAGTTTTATAAAATTTAATCCTTCTTAATCTATCTATAATATTTTTTATCAAAAGTCACTTCGACTGTTTTATTTTCGCAGAATAATATCGTACTATACGCACAAGTATTCATTTTGCTTTACACGTGTAGCAGACGTAAAAGCTGCTTTTATCTTTGATGCAGCGATTCCTTCCAGCAAAGGTTTATAAACGGTTCGATATATTACAGCGCTCCATTTAGAAATTCTTTGCTGTGTAGCGATCGAGCAGCGCTGGATAAAAAAACGCCACACATTTCAGTTTGCTTTTTTCGCTGCAACAAAATGGCTGAGTTCACGGTGACGATGCGCGGTGTTGAAGTTTTATATAACAGTAAAGAGTATACTTATGTAACAATAAAATTCTAAAGTNTTTTTTTTTTTTTTTTTTTCTTTTAACGAGTTATCTAACGTTTTTGTTTTTTTTTTTGTGTGTATCTAACAGTAAGTAAAAGTGTCGGTTTCGGTAAACTGTGTTCTGAATTTGTATCCCGAGCCCCATAGCTCATAAGAATATAAAAATATTAAAAAAGCCTTCCAATAGCATTTTAGTAGTTATGAAAAAAACCCGAGACGACACTTACCAATTACACCACCGTGTGGGGGCATATATATATATATAATATTTACGTGCGCTTTGACAACTTGTAATTTTTCATTCATAAAACCACATAATGGACACTAAAACGGAACTATCCGAGCCCACGTTGAAACTACTATTACAAATACCCGTTGTAGCGTCCGACAGCGCGCTTCAAGCCAGAATGTATAAACGAGTTCAGAATTAGTCAGAATTAGTCTTTATTACTAACACGTGACTACTTGAAGGGGCAACCCGAACTTTGCTCGAGTTACGCTTACGTAACACAGTAACATTCTATAACGAAATTCACGAGTTAAGATTTGACAACGACGATTTATTTTCCGACATTAACTTGTTAACACCAAATGGTATACAAAAATGAATGAAATTTCTTCCTGTTATTTGGAGTCGAATAAAGTCGGACTGAAAAACTGATTGTCGCTTAACACGTTCAAAGTCCTAAAAAACAGTAAAATCTTATATAATTTACTCAAAGGCGGGTGTAGCAGCCTTAAAACTTTTCTAGAAAATTACTTTCTTAATTAATTAAAAAAGAGATTTTATAGAAAAGT